TTGCCGCTGAAAAGAATATCACTGATGTCTTTGATGTTACTGCGATCACGAAAAAATGGTCAATCTTGAAAAACCGCCGATTGGCGATTGCTTGAAAACAATAACTTATACTATTGAAGGTTAAAAACATTACAAATAACTACTATGTAACATTATTGTTCATTGTATAGGGAAAAGCAGTTCTAGTTCAGCTAAAAATTATCTTTATTATATAAATTATATCAATTTACACCTTTTCCCTACATAAAAAAGGCGGATGGACTGCTTCGACAAAAACTTGTTAAAATTGACTGTAGTTATTGGAAGGCCGAGAGGTAACTAATCAATGTGATCATGGTATTTTAGATTTAACTACCTAATTGATAAAATGAGTGGAGAGTTCTATTCGGAGTTCGGAGTACTCGGTTTGTATATGCTCGTGTTCTTCTCGTGTGGCTTATACTCTTTAATTTAGAAGAACAAAAATAACCCAAACATATTCTAATGAGAAAAAGTAGATTGAAAAGCAAGAAAAAATGTTGTAAAAATAGATGTGGGTTAAATATCTAGGTGATAACTGTGCAGGGGAGAAATGCACCACAACATTGCAGTGCACAAAGATAGGGGGTTTATCTTTCAGGTAAATTTTTACAATAGTGTAAAATCAGGTAAATTACTGCATTGCACCCCCCCAACTAGCACATCTTCGCTACGTCCCTGCTCTTATCTCATACAAGAGCAGTAAACGCACGCATTTCAAAGCGAAATTAGACGCAAAGGGGCAATTTTTGAACAAAATTCATTGTTAAATTATGTTTCCTATGTGCCTTGGGAGCAAAAAAATATGATTTTAAGTTTGGAGATTTCGGTAAATTTTTTTGCAATTTGGCCTGGTATTGCACTCTACCTATGTACTAACTGTGCTGTAAAAGTAATCAAATATACTATTTTTAATTTCCTTTCATTGAAAGGATCTACTATTGTGGACTAAACTAAATTTTAATCAGCATACAAGGCTGCAAACAACAGCCAAGAATTAGCTGGGTAGTTTGCAAACTTTAAAAATAATTGGACCTCAAACTTTGATCTGCAGAAGTAAACAAATAGACAATACTGCGAACATAATCCAAGTTTTGATCACGAGGGGCAATTTTTAGATGTAAAAAAACTTGTTTAAATTACATATCAAACTAAGACAAAACAAAATTTGGTATTAAATTTTTGGTGAAATCGTCAAAGTTTTTTGCTATCCGCCCACACTTCTACACCCCCTCTCCCAGGATATTCTACCTCAAAAAACAGTTTTCTGCAGAAACTATGCTTTTTTATTGGAAAAATGTTTACTTTTCTCAAAAAATACATTATAAACACGGAAACCTTAAATATTTAAATAATTTTGATACCTTTTTGAGATTGAAAAAAGCAAAATTTGATTCATTATCCCACTTTTTAAAATATATGTGATAAAGTTGCTTCAAAATCACCATCACGCAGTAGCATGTTTATTTACCCTCATCCTTTTGACCGAATGAAGTTTATCGTTTTGAAAAGCTATTTGTTTTATAGCTCTTGGTTACCGGTTTACGTTTATGTCGATTTTGGCACCCATGAGACCAACAAATTGTGGTAATCCGCGAATGAAAATGGACATTCGAAGAGCACAAAAGCCAACTCCTAGCTATGTAACTTTATCGCCTGAAGTTTGAATCAATCCAAAATTAAAATGCTGATAATGTAGATGCTTTCCATACTTGAGATGTTAGTGAAGTTTTTCCTACAATTTAATTTCCATGATCGCCGTCTTAAAAATGCAAAATCATCAGTTGAAATTTCACTCGTGTTGTTTTTTCAAATTTTCGAATTTTTGTAAAATATCGCGTGCGCCAGCAATTTCTCTGCACAGCGACAACAAATTTCCCAGCTGCTTCATTTCGCTATTTCGCAAACACTTTCGCTCAATCTGCTTGAATTTTTAATTTTTTAATTTTGCTGTGGCGAAAACAGTCGCTCTTTGAAACTGGAAATATGATTTTTAAAATTTGTGCTAGAACTTGGAACTATAAAGTATGGTTTAAACTGAACAAAAAAATCAGGTAAGTTATCTCAACATGTTTATATTAAAAACCACTGACTCAGTCTGTCCCAACTCTTTGATTTATAAAGTTCCACGCTTCTATTTATATTATTTGACCTTATTTAATATGTACATGTATATTCCCAAATATATTTAGGACAGCTAACAGCTTTGCCTTGTGTGATTTAAATATAATGTTAATGAGCTACAATCCTGGCAAAAACTAATGAAACATCCAGTATGACTAGCAATTTATTCTATTCTTCCCCCATAGAATGTTGATTAAGATTAGTAAAAAACCTACACAGTACACATAGTGCTCTTTGCCATCAATGAACTATTGAACACAATTTTTTAGACTCTATGCGGCAAACATTGTTCAGGGGGGAGGGGATTTTGTCTATTTTATTGATTTTTTATACAATTTAGGTGTTTCATTAAATTAATAAACTTTTTGCCAAGGTTGTAAGTAAGATCACTAAGCCATAATGTTATGCATAGTGTTTAATTAAGGTAACTTAGAAATGTTTAGGCATTGAATATCAAGTTAATATAATACCAGCATATATACAAATTACAGTGTGTGTAGACCTATCACCTCTTATTTATCCAATAAGACCACTGCAAACATTTGGTTATGATGACTATGCATAAAGACGGCATCTGGTCCAACACAAGGTCTCAGTGTGCTATTACGGCACATTACAATACACATGTGTTACAACACAAGGACATTGCACAGTAAATTAATTAATCTCCATTCTCCACCTTGCCCTCACGGCTTCACCCAACCCTTGCCATGACTGGCCCTCATCACAACCTGTGTGAGATACGGCAGGAACCTACAAACGGCCAACCCTGCTACAAATATAGCTGCATGGTATCATTTTATTACCCATTAATTTGAACCCTACTTCGTTGTTTAACTCAATCTGTCTAATGCCAGACAATTTTGCTTGTCACGGGGAGAGCACAGCGGCGACACTGAATGGGTTAAAGACCCAAGAAAATAAATGTGTTGGACTAAAATCGTTTGGGACACGATATCCAGTTTATTTTCCTCTACCGAGTATCAGGTTGTTTCAAATTTCCCTCCAGATGGCATAGTGAGATTTTACGGACAACTGCAATGGGTTTATACAGTGATTGTACTGTATATTATTTGTTATTTAAAACCTACAATCCATGAGACATGACATTTTTTTACCAAATGATGTGCTGCATAGCACAGGCTATACTGTATTAGTGTTAAAGTGCCTATGTAATGATTTGGGATTTTAAATATTTTTTATCTTTGGTACATTTAATGAAGAAATGCAATATATCTTTATAAGAAAATATACCATCTTCATAGGATTATCAGCCCTCAAAGTTACCGGATATGACATCAAATCACGAATTTTATACGCTAGAAACAAAAGAAATCTAATTTGCAATTCCCGGTTTGATGTCATATCCGGTAACTTTGAGGCATGATAACCTGTGAAGATGGAATATTTTTCTTTTAAAGATATATTGCATTTCTTCATAAAATACACCGATGATTACAATAATAAATTACACGAATCATGACATAGGCACTTTAAATTTATTGTCTTGAGTTCCTTTCTTCCTAAACAAAAAAAAAACAAAGAAAATTGTTTATAATCCAGTATAGGTCTACTGATGACAATATGTGATAGATAAACTTTTCATTATCAATTTTTAAATGTAATTTCCCATCATTTTTTGAATAGTAACTGCCTCCTTACAATATCAGACACAATCCAGTCTATTATATATCCCAATACTTTCCTTGTACTAGATCTCTAAGAGAGTAAGAAGCTCATTCTGCATTTAATTAATTTACATTAACTTTGATGGTAGTCTTTTGATACTTTACCTTTACTTGCAGATGGATGTTTTGTAATGTTTGAATAATTCAGATGCAATCCTCACTCTCTCTTGTGTGCAGTTAATGGGTTTTGTGAGATCTTTCCCCTCAATTAGTCGCTCAGCAAACTGTTGATGTAAAATTAAAGCAGATGGTAAAATTTGTACTTTGTTATTAATACCTATATGCTGTGTGATTATACAGTAGCATGTACTGTACCATACTTTACGATGATTTGCACTGAAGACAAGTCATTGTACAGTAGCTACAAGAATCATTGCAAATAAATTGAATGTAAATTGTTGTGGGTTTGAGTCTATCTTAGTGCGTTTTCCTTATTACAAATAAGAATTATAAGAAAGAAGCTTAGCTTCTCATAAATCTTCTTACCAGTTAACTTGCCACACAAACCATTATCCCACAGTTATATCCATCTTTCTGTGAATAGTGTTGTGGTTCTACGCACGGTCATGTACTGGTATTCCAACCTGTCTTTTTGTCAACAAGATCACTATAATTGTAAATATATATAATTATGCAGAAATTGTCACTTAAAAACTGAACAAATCAGTTGTACTAAAGATTCAAGATGTAACATATCCCAGGGCTTTGTTCCAACTGGAGATTTTATAATCTGCATGTAATTAATTAATAGTGTATCTCTTATGACAGTACTAACCATATTTTATCAATCATATACTTTAACCAAGCATGTTTTGGCATCTCAGTAAGATCTTCCTCTTTCTGTCCATTCATTGGATCAAAATAATTCTGGTTTTGTTTGATTCATCCAAAACCTAAACATTTGAACTTTTTCATATTTAGTTTTTCAAGAAAATGCTAATGCTAATTATGCTATTCTTGTAAGTCTCCAAATTTGCACTGTGTTGTTTTAAATCTATAATGCTTACTGTAAACCTTAATCTGGTGACAGATGTTTCAAATGTAATCTTTATAACTTTATGTGCTTTATGTGTTTATCTTAGTTTTATTGCTGATGGCTAAACAGTAGAGTTCAACAATAGGACTGGACATTGGTTATGTAATGCAAAAGTGATGTTGGAAAGTCCAACTTTATACCAAGAGATTCCAGTGACAACCCGAGGGATTCATTGGCACAAAGATCTTCTTTATGGTTGCAAAGTCCACATTCATCCAAAGTCTTTTTGTGTTTTTAACCTCATGCACTGCAAGTTGTTCAACGCTTGTGTTAGCTGAAATGCAGTCAGGATGCTCTTTTTCCAGTCTATGAAGTTCTGCTTCTATTATCTGGAATAACACAGAGAAACCAAATAAATTTAGGTAGGCAGCTGATGATATTGAAAAATTTACATCTTCATCTGTCACAAACGTAATTTTGGCCGCTTTTCTTCAAAGTACACATTCAATGAAATCTGCTTATTAATATTCATGTCAACAATGTTCAGTGGAAATAAACAGTTTTGTACATATAGAGGCTGAAGTTATGGATTTTGAGTAGTACTGTACTTCAGAACAGTATCTGGGCCATAACTAGAGCGATAAATGGGGGGTGGAGTATACTCGTGTTCTGCCCGACGGATTTCTTTTGAAAGCGATTGTTTTTACGGTATGTGAACATGATTATATGAATATTCACCCCCCCTCCCAATTATCGCGTCTAGTTACGGCCCTGAACAGTACAGCAATAGTTTTGGTTTTGCCACTTGAACATTTTTATTACAGTATAGCTATTTATACTCTCATGCAATACGTTAATGGTATAGAATTGATTACACTGTAACTACAACACCATACCATACCACTCAACCATCCTGCAACAAACTTTGGCAATTGTTTTTTTATCTCGGCTTTATCCTTCTTTTTCAGACGATGTGGTGGGACTATGGTGCAGAGATTCCCTAATGTCACTGGCACTGGTCCATACGTAAGTAGGATTTTATTAAGGTTTTCTGTTGTTCGAGCCTTTAAAATCCACTCAAATGCTGTTCTGTAAAGTGAAAAGTCAAATAAGTAAGTACATCATGTACTGCAAGTGGCGATGTACATGTGTTTCTGATTTTCTGCTATTTACAAGAATATTTACTCACACTTCATTCACAAGTTTTTGTTTTCCATCTACTTTGGCGAGATTTGTGCTTGGAACCACCTAGAATGTAAATTAAGCAGAGTAATATAGTCTGTGTGATTTGTAATACGCTCTCCAAGTTTCTGATTAACATGTACAGTACAGTAATTCACTGTCTGGCATTTACCACTGTTGAATTTACCACTTATGCTGGAATTACCTACTGTATTGGTAATTCATGTCGAATTAGAACGATTTATCCAGCAGCTCTAGGAAATTGTTAAATAATTGCTAATTATGCGACGCATTTTCTCACCTTACTTCTGTCTGTTGGACATTTTCTCTTGGCCTTCCTCTCCTCAGTCATATTGGGGTGACCTTTCCTTTTCAAAGGGCAGGCTGGCTTTACTGGACCTTCCTCTTTTATTTCAACATTTACCTAAGATAAATAATCAAGAATGTTTAAAGTCTGTTTAAAATGATTATATAAAAATAAGTTTGGCCACGTGTGTGATAATCTACATCCTTTAGGGAATTTCCTTTGACGTTATACAGTCAACCTGATCAGGTCAATGATCCCATGCCATCAATTTTAATGTCCCTATATATAATTTTACCTGGAACATTTTTTTCATCATTTCCGCTTTTGCTCCTACACGTTGAGAGTAAGGATGTGTCTTTTTTGCTGTTTAGGTAGGTTGGATAGGTGATGCGAACTACTGTCCTTCTTCTTTTTCAAACGTAACTTTGCTATCCTCTTCTCTTTTGCGGTTTTCTGCTTTTCCAGGAGCAGCCCATGATCAACAGGGATTTTTGACTTCATTACTGTTACTACCTCACTCAGAGATGTATTAAAAGCTCGAAGGATCTCTGGATTGTGAATTAAATATGTCAAGTTCTTGGCATCAAGCAAAGTTTCTCTGCATTGTCGTGCAATGGTATTTAAGCTACTCTGGATAAGCTGTGTAGGTTTTAATACATCCGTTGCAGGTGATGTTTCAGAAGGAGTTGGACTTGTGCATGGGTTGGGTGAAGGTAGGATATTGTCATTCTCTTCCTTACATGTAGTTGAAGCTGGGGTTAAAGGGCAATCCTCGCTTGCTCCGTTATTTCTTGCGACTGTAACAACGTGTTCGTCTAGGGTTATATGTGCTTGATTTGTATAGTGTGATGAAATTTTATCAAATCCCCAGTTGGGACAGTGTCTAAAAACTGCAAAGAAGTGCTTGCATAACAGCCTTGATTTCATCCAGGGCAGGCATTCACAACTTGGTGTAACTCCAGTCGTAAGACCAAAATTAACCATGTAGCAGGTGCTAGGTCCTCCTTGTACTTTAAAAATTCCCATATCTTCCTTGACATATTCCACAGACGAAGCAGGAATATCTTCTGCCTCAGTTATTTTTGACATGCAGTGTTTAACAAAACTTCTTGGTCGATTCAGGAGATATTTTGGTATTGAGGAATTATACCGCCTGTAGTTCTCATGACAGCGAACATTTTTTTCGACGTACCTGTAATTTTATAGCAAATGCTATATAAGTAAATTGCAAGTTTGGCAGTACAAGCTGTGATTGCCGAGGTATTTCCTCTTGTACCCTAGAAATCTAACC